TCAAATTTTGTATTTTGCCGTGCAAATATGCATTCTTTAAAATGATGCAAAAACTTGTATACCTTACAATACAAGTTTGTTAAATAAAATAAAAAAGAATAATAAATATTTACTGAAAGTTATTTTTTGCATAGAATTATCTTTGGATAAATGAATTTCATAATTGGGTGAAAAATTTTTTCAATTCGCTTAGAAAGTTCTGGATACATAGTGAAATACGCAAAAAGTAAAATGAACATTAAGGGGTCCAAACTTTGGAGCCCTCTCCTGTCCGGACCATGTTTCCCAGATTGCGGTTACTCCCTATATTTCGGGAGTCAGAAATCTGAATCCATGGAAAAAAATGTATGCTTATTCAGAGAAAGTATGCTTTTGCTTTATTTCGCAACTTGAAATATCGTCTGCTCTTATTACTTAGTATATTTGAGGTCTCTTCGTCAAGCCATTAAGATTGAGTCCTAGAGGGCGAAGATCTTCTGGGGGATTCTTTTTTTTNTTTTTTTTTTTTTTTTTTTTTTTTTTTTTTTTTTTTTTTTTTTTTTTTTTTTTTTTTTTTGGCACACTGCACATAAAGATTTTATCGATAATTTCTCCAAATTAATTTTTTTTTAGCATTTTGTTTGGATCATTTGATTCTAGTCTTACTTATTTATTATTTTATTTTTGTGGGTTTGCATCAATCTATTGATGTCAAATTAATAATTTTGCCCTTTTAGCAACTTTTTTTTCAGATTCAGTTTTCAATTTTCCATTCTTTTAACTATTAACTCTTAAATGTTTAATTGCAGCACAGTCATTTTAATTGTAATTATTTTATTTTAATTTTATTATTTTCAGTCTCAACAATATATGGCTACTTGGTTTAAGTCCTCACTTAATTGATATGGCTATTTTTATCTTTAATTAGGCTTAATCTGAAACTATTGCGTATGGGTTACTCACTAATTTATAGGAACTAATTAGAGGCTCATTTCATTTACGTTTTATTGGAGTATTTGGGGAGATATTTGTAAAACCCCCTCATAGTAGTTTAAAAGATGAGTAATAACAACTTCCATCGACAGCAAAAATACTGGAACCCGCTCTCTGAAAATGAGACACAAATTTTCTAAGCTGCAATTGTCTGTTGACTTGTTTAAAGTTATTAAAATAAAGTTTTGCCGTTAGATCAGCTTTTCTCATTTAAAAAAAAAGACTACTCGACTTCTAATAAACCTATTATGCTAAAATTTGGTAACTGATTTGAGTATAGCTTGCTGTTCGTATTCATTGTAGCACTTGAATTTTGGTAAATATTTTAAATTTTTTTCCTAATGGGAATACATTTTTTTAAATAAAAATACAAAAAATAAGCTTTTTTTGAAATTTAAAAATAGTTTATACTTTTAATATTTCACTTTTTTAAAAAACTAGAATGGTTTTAAAAATTTCATATTTGACTGCCTATTACAAGTTGCTTCAAGTCATTAACACGAATTTTTAAACTGTCATCGTGCGCATGAGACATCATAGTATTTTTTTCCTTCAAAATTTAGTTCTCAAAAAATTAAATTCTAAAATATTTTAGAAGTGTTTCCAAAAAGTGTTTACGTTCAAATAACTGTGCTTATGTTAATTCCCACTGACAAATTCAGAATCCTAAGTTAAATTTTGGATAAGTTATGAACAGTTGAAAAATCTGACCATTGCTGCTCCTTCGATGAAATCAAAACGACAAGTCTGTTTAAGTTTGCCCTTAAAATTGTAACTGCTGTATTTGCACGGTTTTAATAACTGTTCGTTTGCTGTGAGTAGCAAGCATTGGGGAATTCATGTTGTCTTTTGCTTGTCAACTATGCCAGGCTTTGACTTTTGTTGTTCACCAGTATGCTCTGTTATACTTTTTCTTGCGATCCATCGATTCCTGGAGTGGAAGACAGGAAGTGCATCGCAACTATTATGCCAAAAGGTTCAGTTTTAAGTTCTATCAGTGTTAAGCCAAAGGTTCAGTTCTGTATCATTAGGAAATTAAAAAGAAAATATTGCAGAAAAAGTGTAATATTTAAAAATAATAAAACACATATACTTTTTTCTATGCTATTTAAATATTTTTCAGATTTTTTAAAACTGTTTTTGGTTGATGCTTTTTGGCTAGATATGACAAAAATTGTCATGTCTGTTACCATAATAATATTGCGAGTTTACAATCTAGAATATGCTGGCAAGGACTCGTTGTAATTTTCAACGCCTGATATTCACCAATAGAAACAAAAATTCGTCGCTTACTATGTATGATCTTAGTCGTGTAATAAAGATAATTATATTTTAGTTTTTAAATCTCTGAGAGCTGTATTAACTGTTTTCATAATGAATTTCTATCAGCTTCTGTTCTGTTAAACCTAGTTCGAATTTTTTTTAAGATTCTATCTGTGCTACGCTGATGTTTAATTTACCAACTAATTTTTTTCAAGAGTTAGTGTATATATGCATTCTAAATTAATTATTCTTACTTTATATTGTATTGTAAGAATAACTTAACTGACTCTTATTTGCATCTTATCTTACTCTAATCATTTAATGTTATTGATTAACTGAAATGCTGGCGACTACTTTACACCATATTAAAAATATTAAAACAATGGTCATATTATATTTAAAAAAATGAGATTTCAAAACCCATGTGGAAATCCGTGCCATTACTTATGTCAGCAAAACAAAGTAAATCTGCGGAGGCCGGTTTTTCTAGTAGGGTCGTAAGTCAATGTAATTTCTCTATGCCTATTTTTAAAAATAGTTAATACATTCTGCATACTTTTTTGAGCTCTTGCGGCTAGTTTTATCAACGTATTTTTATAGCCAATTTTTTTAAAAGAAACTTTTCCCATGTCAAATTTTAACTGTCCCAATAAACATCTGGATTATTGTTTTCACTGTTGAGTAATTTAAAGATTTTTTTTCATCGAAATACAAATATCGTAAGTGGAAAAATTACGCATTAAATTTATTTTAGAATGAACAATACTGAATGTACCAAATTTTAAATTAAACTTATTAATCTTAGGAATTTAAGGATGAGTGGACAAGAGTGTTTGCTGGAAAAAATCGCGAGATTTTGGAAAACTCATTTTATGAAGAATTAAGGAATTTTTTTATGAATTGCTATTATCCAGAAATTCATTTAAAAAAATATTTTTCTCGAAATAAAGCATACAAACTCTTCAACATAGAGCATATTCAGCTTAAAATATAAGCAAGATGTTCCCTAATCACCACTCTTATTGTATATCTTTAAAATCCTTGTAAAAAATGAAATAAAAAAGGAATAAAAGTTTCTCAAAGAAAAAGTAAATTTATTTAAATGGAGAGCCGGAAGAAAAATAACAATTAATAATGGCTTTTCACCTACTCTTAGTTACCTTCAAAATTATAAAGTTTGGAGTTCCTTTTTCCTCGGTAGTGCTTGTTTATTTTTCAAAGCATATTGCATATTTCTACCCACAATGCATATTGACGAGAATGAATTAAGAGCAAGTAGTGGGGTGAGACTACAATTTTGTTGAAATTAGTTCTGTTTTTTTAGATCACAAACTCTGACTTAGTCAAGAAGAAGGACCTAAATAAAAGCAAATTGTTTTTGATTAATCACCCTGCTGGCACCGACCGCATCATGGCTTAAAATATTCTCAGTTGTAGACGGATAAGGGGTTAGAGTCCCTTTGCCGTCAGACTAATCATGGAAAGTTTTCGTGGTTTTCCTCTCCATGTAACGAAAATGTGGATTAGTTCCATCAAAAAGTCCTTCACGAAGGCAAAATCTCTCCCAATACTTGATCCTGGAATTCTCTTGGCTTTTAGATTGGGTTCAAAATTGCAAGGCTACGGAGTTGAACATCGGCAGCCGTTATGTCAAAATTGGGTCAGCTGTTCAACGACAGTTATAAAATAAAATAACTTCCAATTATACCTGCTTTGATACTTTTACATGTGCCATGCTGTAGTGTGATTTTTCAGATTTTGATAGCGCACCGTTTTTTTCACACTTAATTATTAATGTATTGACCCCTAAACTGTATACTATTTGTTTTTATATTTGGTAAGGTTCTTACGGAACATGTTGAATATTGTAAGATTTTCTTTACGGAACACATTGCATATAGTGTGTCACGTATTTATATTTTTAGACAATTGGTAAAAAAGCAAAGCGAAAGGTGAATTGATTCCAGTTCCATCAGACATCTCAATCATGATTGGTCGGAAATTAGAAATTTTTTTAACACTTAAATATTAGTTTAAGATCTCTAATATGCAAAGTTCTCAATCTTCATTTTGTATAAGGATTCTAAATATATTTATTAAGGATAATAATTACGGTACATGCTAATAAATATCAATTATATTGAGTATGAAAAATAATTCTTCGGGGATATTAAAACAAAATTTTTTTGAGAATCATCCAGATAGATTTTGATAGATTTCTCTAATATGCAAAGCTCTCGATCTTCATTTTATACAAGGACGGGGCTGCCAACTTTTTAAGTTTTGGGGAAAAACTTCATCTAATGGTAGTTATGTTTGCTTAATATACGAGTCTTTGTTTCGTAAATTTAATATCAAGTTACTTTTCCACACCACTGCAAACAAATGATTCTTATGAAATACAATGATTCTTATAAAAAGTTCAAATGAAATCCCACTTCGTTCCAACTCTCTCGTGATGAGGTTTTTAAATTGCTAGAAAATTACCCAAAATTCTGACTGCTTCATTTTTTAAATGAAGCAGTCAGCACTCCATAATTTTTTTGCGGAAAGCGCAGTTGCTAGCAGCCCTGCAAGTATTATAAAGATAGTGCAATAATTACGGAGCACGTTAGTAAATGTCTATTATATCCATAATGAAAAAAATTATGCTGGCATTAAAATAAACACTTTTAGAGAATCATCCAGATTAATTATGCTGAATGAGTTTATTTTTTTTTTAGTTTTAGAGAATGACATTTAACTAACTTTTATGTCTTTTGCAGGCAGCAAGTCCCGCCTGTACTGAACTAGAAACAATAATGCTCGATTGGCTAGGTATGTAAGATTTTGTATTGAATATTTAAAACAAAATAAAAGCAAGTTTATTTCATTTGATTTTTGTCTTTCATTTCAATATGCAGTAATTGGCCGTCCCAAATCGGAAGTAGGTTGACTGGTTTAACATGTAATAAAGTAAATTAATCTTGCAATATATGAAGTATATACCTATATGTATGCTATTTCATAATATGCAGAAGAACTACGCTTACGCAGAAGGATTTTTTAAATTGACCAAATGTTTTTAATTAGTATACACAATAATGAACTCAAAACCTAAATAATATGATTTAATTAAATTATTATGGGGTAAAATGATTTATATTTGTTTGGATTAGGTATAATTCTAGATCTCCGTTTCTGTTTTATAGTACAAAATCAAACATTACAGTATCAGCCAACGATTTGAACATAACCATAGGGTAGATTCATAGAAGTAGCAAATTAATGTTTAAGCGAGGAAATGAAACAAAAACGCAACCGAAATTTAAAAAGTAATTACCGAAGTAGGCGGAACTGAAAGAAGTCTCAAGACCAGTTTGATTACTGGAAGCAGAAGAGTTTAGAGCTGATTATTAGAAACTAACACAACTTTTCATCTGGCAATCAAACTGGTTATGATATTGCTCATTTCACTTTCCTCGCTCGTGATTTCATAGATTTCAATAACATTTTTGTTTTTTGTTTTTGCTTGTGACTCTTAATGCGATTTCGTTTTTGTTTTCTTTTTTTGAAAATATATACTAAGGGGGAAATCAGTATATTCAGAGTGTTGCCTTCATTTTGAAATTCTGGTTAAAATTAAAGTAAAAAAAATATAAACTGCGGTGGTCGCAAATTAATGATGAGCGTGAAAAAAAACAAAATCTTCGCCAAAATCTGATTGATAATTTATGAGGAATATAATTTATGGGATTAAAAAAGTTTAAATCTTTTTTATTGTCAGATGAAACAGATATTGAGAGAAGGTAAAAGGGGAAAATTAGACAGCCTCCAAGCTTTTCTTTTAATTAATATTAATTTGATGCTTTTAATTTCGCTTCCCTCAGTCTTATTTTTTTCTCTTCATTCATTCATTTCTGACCATTACTGTGAAAAAAAAGGAAATAAATACAATTAAAAATAAAAAAAGGAGAAAATTGACGTGAAATAAAAAAAATGAAAAATATTAATGAATGAATCAAAAAATTACATTTTTTAAATTAAAATTATAAAAAACAACAACGAAAATATGTATAATCTCGTCATCAACTTGCACGATTATATCTGCAAAAAGAGTTCTTTCTAATATTGCAGTAATATAGCCAAATCATATTATATCAACAGAATAGTGTGAGAAGCACCAAAGAAAGAAGTAAAAGGAAAGAAAACGATTGGTTAACAATATTTTACCAAGTACAAATCAAAAAAATTTAAAAAAAGGGCAAAATAATACTCAGATAGAAACATATAAAGTGAGCGGGGAGAACGAATATCATGTATTTACGAACGAGTTGCAAAAATGATTTTAAAATATTTTCTTCACTAAGTTACCAGATTATTAAATATGAAATTAAAGCGTAAATAGAGGGTAGTAGGATATATTTTCAAGGCGCGTTCATACTGAAGAACCTTATTTGATTCGTTTGTTTTCTTGAATTGGCCCAAGGTAATAATATAATAACCTAGATAATTCAGAGCTTATAATTAATAAAAAATCGAAATTCAGTTACAAGTTTTAATTTATAGAAATATTTAACTTTTATTGAAAAATATAAATTATTAAATTGAATATTGGAGGAGGTTGTAGATCAGTTACATAATTTTTAGCCATGAATTTGCCCGAATAGGATTTGCTCATGGCAAAAATATTAATCGAGATAACCAAAAGATTTTTTATGAAATATATTTTTTATTAACTTTAATACTAAGTTAACTCAATGAGTTTACAAAGATTTCTTTTGTAAAAGTTTGTAATACTATTCTATTTGTAGGCTAAAATTTAAAATCGTGAAAAATGTCAAAAATATTAGTTTTAATTCTATCAAAATAAGAATGCATTCTGAAATGATTGAATTCTCGATTATTTATAAATTTATTACAATTAATATCTGAACGACGTTGATTAATTCTAATGCTAACAGAGATACTAGCTTGTCCAACATATTTCATATTGCAAAAATCGCATCTTAACATATAAATGACATTAAATAACAAAGTGATTTACAATTATCGCTATTTTAAACTATATGTTTTTGATCAACATTGGGGCAAGTTTTAACATCTTTCATCGTTAACACGCTTTATAACAAGGCAAAATTATAGTTTCGTATGAAATTCTGAAAAAACTTTGATTATAATTATTTTCAGAATAGAAGAGTGTCGATTCAATGGGCCCCTCTTAATCAGGTCCCTCGTACTGGGTACAATATGAAGAATTATTAACACATTTTTAACTGGTGCTTTATTTCTTTTTTAATTCATATTAAAAATTGAGCTCAAAGAGCCCCATATACGCTATTAATTTCGATGAAAATTATCGAATTATAATTTTGTATTTAAAATTCGACCTTTTATTAATTATAAACTTTGAATTACAATATATTATTACTTTGCTCAAATCCAGTTTTAGGGTGAATCGAAGGACAAATCAAATGAGGTCTTCAGCTCCATTCCACTACTCTCTCTACTCTTTCATATTTTGTAATCGGGTTACTTAGTGAAGAAAATATTTCATTTTTGCAAATAATTCGAAAGTACATCCTTTTTCGCTTTATATGTTCTCTTATATTTTCCTATTTCTGGTTTGTTTCTTCAATTTTTGTGATTTTTTACTTTCGTTTATTTCTTTGCTCCTCACACAATTGCATTGATATATTTTGCTTTGCCCATATTAATATAATAGTAAAACGCACTATTTTTGTGGATATAATCGGGTGCGCTGATAACTAGGTTATATTTTTTCGTTGATATATTTTCTAATTTTAATTCATTATTTTATTTTTCTAAATTTTCTTAGTTTTTTAATAATTTTTTCTTCTCACTAAATCTTTTCCCCCTTTTTTATTTATTATTTTTTTTTTAAATGTTCATCTTATTTCATGGTTTCTATGTACATGCAGCTTATGCGCAGTTTATAAAACTTAATATATCTGAAATTCTTAACTTTTTCTTTGAAAACTTCTCTTTTCTGTCTGTCATTCTTCATTGCCTCTTGTTTACATATATATATATATATATATATNTTTTTGATATATATATATATATATATATATATATATATGATATATTTTGCTATTTGTTTATTAGTTTTTTAGCCTCATAAATTTTCCTTATAGGACTTCAAGTTTATTAAATTTTTTGTATTTTAGGAAAAATGATTGGATTGCCGGAAGAGTTTTTGTGTTTATCAGATAAAAGTAAAGGTGGTGGGGTAATACAGGTATAAATACTTAGTTCACTTATATTTTAACAGCTGTTTACTTTTTTTCCTCCCGCCAATCAGTTTAAATATTGAATTTGATAAGATTTGGGCTTAATATAAAGATACTAAAGATATTAAATAATGTATTTTTTAATTACAATAACAATTGAGCTAAAAATATTTCAGAGTAGTTTTTAAAGTATAATATAATTAATAGTTGACAGAAATGGCGAAAACTTAAGAAATTTGTTTTAGTGGACTTTCGAATGCAATTGCTAATTTTTGTTTTATCATCTTCTAGATTAAGAATAGCAATTATCAAAATTAAACATATAACTTATAATATTTAAGGTCACTAAAAGATGAGGTTTAGTGAGTTGATGGATAACTCAAAAGAGTTACAAATGTGGCAGCACAGAGGGGCACAAATCAAGAAACATAACTCGGAAAGAAGAAAGATTAGTTTGAAAGATTGTGCTCAGCCTCCTTTTTGCGAATGTTAAATTAATATGGATCAATGGATAAACTTGAAGTTTTGATACAAGAAAATCGACTCCAAAACGCAAGAATAATTTACACATGTGTATGAAACAGACTCAGTGAGCAGGAAATGCGTTTACTTTCTGAACCATCATCGAATGATGATTCCGAGTCTAATTCTCAAACTTCCCCATTTCCTTACTTGTTGTTCCAGGGAGTGTACCCGACACTGCACATCCACCGTACTTGCCTGATTTAGCACCTACAGACTATTTTTTGTTTCCCTGCTTAAAGGGGGTCCCAAAGTTTACACGTTCTTTACACATATTAAACATAAAAAAATATGCCCATTTGTGCACTCAATGATACCTAAAGAGACCTCCGATAACACCTTCAAGTGTTTATCTGACAACAGATCTTACTTTGTGGGTGATTAAAGATCTTTTGTTTATTTTCTCACATTTGTTTTATGTTTTCCTTCTCTTATATTTTTTCCGCACTTTATATAATAATAGAAGGCAGTAAGAAAAGTAATATTTTCAAACTTCATTTTTGTATTACTTTATTATTATATTAATATTCTTTTAGAAGTTTAATTGTAAAATTAAGGAACATACTCACTTTTTCGTACCACTTGAATCTAAAAAGTAATCATAAAATATGCATATTCTGTTCGTGAAAACTAAGAAATATGTATTTTGTAAGAATTAACTGAAAAATCAATGACATTTTCAAAGGTTAAAATTTTATCTCTAAAATCTGCATATTTATTTTCAAAAATATGTCAAATTTTAAAATTATAATTAGATCTATATTTAACTTTAATTTTCTTTTATAGAATATTTATTTTGGGATAATGGTAACAGTTTTTCTTATCTACTCTTCTTATTATTTTTTTTTAAAGAAAAAACCTTATTTTAATTTTCAAAATGATAAATTAAGAGCAATAATCTGGGTAAAACAAATATTAAATTTTAAAAGTTTCATTGTTTCATTAGAAGTTCATTATAATTGAAACGTATTAAATGTGAAAGAGATAAAAGCAGTATGAAACTACAAATGAGCGAAATTAACAGCATTTTTGAGATGAAATACGTTTCACAGGAGAGATTAAAAAATATAAGAATAAGGGTCATTCTCACTGAAAAGGTATAAATAGACTAAAAAAATTTCTTAAATTAAAGTAATTAAAAAAGTGATAAAAATTACATAAATGCCTTTATTTATTTTTGTTATATGTCCTTATAATAATGGTCAAGTTTTCTATTTTATTTTTTACAAGATTTAAAATATTTTAAATTCTGCCTTGTCCACGGAGGAGATGTAATAGTCAACGGAGGAGACATTTTATGTTATAAAATATAAAATGTTTATGAAGACTAATTTTTTAATTATTGGGTACAACTGATATGAGTTTAACATTAATAAGTAAATAATAAAATATTTCATTATTAGAGATAGAGCTACTTCCGATTAATCATGCTGCTATGAAAGGAAACATCCATTTTTAACCTAGGTGTACAATTTTTTAAGGTAACTCTTACTGAATATAAATAAATTAGAATGTAAAGACTATTGAAATAAAAATTCAGACTCCACATGAAAGTTGAGTGTTAAGGGTACTATTTCATGAACCTTTTATGCAAGTTAAACATACTGTCATTCAAATACCGTTTTTGTTTTTTCTCTTTTCTTCTTGTTATTGTTTCTTTTATCCCTGGGCACAAACGGCCAAACGGCTTGCTCTATCAATTTCTAGAAATTTAAGTATATTTAATCACGATTTTTCTGTTAAATCTTTTTCTGATACAGATTTTAAAGTTTCTTGCACTTTTTTTTTTTTCTTACTTTCTTCAAACAATATAGGGTTTTCTTTGGAATTCTGTCTAGCTTGTCTCATACTCAAGTCGAGCTTTTTCTGTTCCTTTCTCTTTTGCATTTGAACATTTAATTGCTTTCTTTTTTTACATTTTGGTTTTGCCATTTTTTTCCTAAAATTTGAAGAGAAAAAAAATGTTAAACATCACAGAAATTATTTAGAAAAATTGCCAATATTTACTTCTCCGATAAGAAAAAGTTAAACTTAATTGATTTTCTTTAAAAATATAAACAAATTAACACATTTGTTCCATTTTAAAAAATATCAATTAAAAGAAAATTGTTTTTAATTATTAAAATTGTATTATGGTTATCCAACACATTGCCTCTTCCATTGACTGCGTCTTCTCCTCCGTGGACTTGTTATGTCCATGGAGGGGACGTCCACGGAGGAGACAAAAACGAAAAATAGGGCAGTTCTTTTTATTAAGCTATGTTTTTTTGAAGTTATGTTTATTAAAAAATAAGAATGAAATATTAAATACATTTAGAATATACACACATTAAATACACAGAAATGCATATGATTTGCTTGTTAGGACTTTACGAAAAATGATGAAGAAAAATATTAAGAAATCTGCTGTATTTCCTAATATTTATTACAAAGGGACTTAAAAAATTACCTTTTTGAGAGAATGACCCATAAATAACTAGTTGAATATGCAAAAAGTATTTATCGAAGAAATGCTTTTATAGTTTTTGTATTAATTTATTTACTTTAATTTTAAATTTTTCTTCCATTTTATTTTATTCTCTTGTTAATAATACACGGTTTTGTAATCAAAACCTATTTCACTCTACTGGTCCAAATGTTGTTTTCAACATAAAATATTAATAGTTTCTTTCATCAATATTTTCTATACGAAAGATATATTCATAGTTCATTCCTCGCCTTTCTTTATAAAATAATTATGTTACAAGTTTTTTCTTTCACAAAGAATAAACTTATCTTTTTCAAATTAGCTCAAATAATATACTTGACACAATTTAACTATTAGATTTTATTACAAAAAGCAATAAAAGAGAGTTTGAAATATACGATCGAAAACAATAATATAATAGTTTATTCCATCATCATGTTATTTACGAACCATATTCTAATAGTTAATTCCATATAATTCCTTATGGGATAAAGATCTTGAAAGTTTTATTTTCTTTATAATATGTAAAGATATCTTTCTCAATTCATCTATAAAACATACATGTTACCATACAACTATTACGCTTTACTTCTCTATAAAATAACACAAGGATTTGTAATCAAAACATTTATTTCCTATACAAGTTCACACGTCACTCTAAAAATGGCATGCAAATAATTTTACCTATTAGCATGCTATTTTCAAAACTATTTTCGTAGTTAATTCCATATATATCTTCATGGAATAAATATGTTATAATTTTTTTTCAAATGTAAAAATTTTTAAAAACTTTGAAAAAAGTATACTTGCTGCAAGATTACTATTAAACCTTTTTTTACGTAAAATACCATTGGGATTTGCAATCAAGACATTTTTTTGCTTACCGAACAGCTTACTAATAAAAAAAAAAAGCATGCTAATAATTTATGCTCTCAACATGATTTTTTCGAAGCATATGTTAATAGTTAATTTTACGTAAATCTTTATGGAATACATATGTTGTTAGTTTTTTTTAATGTAAATATTTTTAAAACACTTAAAAAACACAATTTGTATCAAGTTAATTATTAAAAATCGTTCCTTACGTAAAATAATACAGGGATTTTTAATCAAACCAATATTTTTTGCTTTACTGATTCAAGCATCGTGCCAAAAATAACATTTTTATAATTTAAGGCATCAAAATGCTTATTTTCTAAGCATATCTATATAGTTAATTCCACAAATTTCTTTATGGAATAAATATGTAAATAGTGAGTTTTTACTTAAAGTCTTTCTTTTAAACGTCTAAATAACATACTAGTTACAATTTAACTATTCCGTTAAATTACGGATCTCTCTAGCTTTTAGAATGCTCGAATTCTCTAATAAGAAGAGGAATGATTTATTTATTTCTAATTTAGGAGGCACTTTTTGTCAGCTTTTACCTGATTATAAAGAGGAGAGCACCCCACTCACCGACCCTCCTCTGAATGTCAGAGGAATTTAATAAACTTAGAATAGAAATTCCTAGAATGGATCGATAGAATCATATTTATTTCACTGGAATTATAAAATGCACTTGCTTAAGGGAGATTATATATTACAGACATCTTATTTTATGATATCTATGAATGGCAGGGAAGATTTTTTGTTACTTTATTTGGAGTTGTTAGGAGTTCAATGTTTTTTTCTTCCTGGAAGAAATATCATGCATTGGCAATTATAAGATCGTTGTTTTGTGAGAAATACTTTATTAAAAAGTTATGGAAAGTTCAGATTAAAAATGAGGAATTATAGAAAAATTGTATAATAAAAGTATTATTTAGGAGGAAATACATTAAATATTAGCGTAAAATATGTTATTTACAAAAGCAGTCAATTGTGTTAAAATTCAGTAATATAGTGTAAATGTATCGAATTACAAATCATGAGTGAAAAATTTGTTTTTTCTCTCTGGAATATAAGGAAAAATCAAATATTTATTATTTTACTGATTCAATAAGATACTCATAAATCGATAACTAAGCTTTTTTAGCAGATTAATTAGAAATTAACAATAGTAAAAATAAATTGATAAGAATCGCTATGGAGACAGATGAAGTTGACTCTTACAGCGTGCAAGGAATGCGTAAGATTTCGTTTTTTTTTTTTTGAAAAAAGGAACAAATATTTTTTATTTTAACAATTTAATAAAATATAGATAAACTTCATAAGAATTACTTCGGAAATGAATGTTAAGGATAACTTTAACTTTGTGTGACAGGTGCTTACGTTTCCGGATTTCTCTCAGAAATTTAAAAAATATCTAATACGTATATATATAATTTTTTTTTTAAAAATTGACTTGTTTTATGATATGCTGATTAAGATATTAGCTAGCTTTAGCAGCGTACAGCAGATGTAATTTTTTACCTTTTTGCCCAATCATGTACTGTATGTGTATATTTATTTATTTTTAACATATTATTATTCATATTTTTAATGTTTATTTGATAAAACATTATTATATTTTGCATTATTGTACTATATATACAGTAGGGTTTTACAATATATTATATGTAATACAATATTATTAGATTGTATTGCGTATAATATTATTGTATATTATATTATTGTAATTTCTCAATTACAATCATAAGATCCTTCACTTGGTCATGAATATGTTTTTCTTATTTGTATTATTTTTAGTTTATTTGTTAAATTAAGTTGTTGTTGTCAAAAAGTTAATTGTTATCTGGAAAATCTTAAAAAAATATTTTCTATTTTATAAATTTAATTGTGATAATTTCATGTAAAAATTTTTCGCTTAACTACTGTTTAATTTAAGAACAAATCTAAATATTAATTTTTTGCTAAACAATCCATGAATAATGCGTTTATTTATTTTTATTTTGTTGTTATGCTTTAAATTGATATAACGACAGCAGTAATTAAACCAAGTGAGCTCTTTTGCACACTTTGATCAGAGAGGGTTCGAACGTGAGTGTGTATTATAAAAACGCGCCTTTTATTTAAACATAGAAAATATTGTTATTGAACACACCGTTATACTAAAGATTCGTAGTTTATAAGACATTGCTTAATCTTCAAATATTTTTACATTACCATCATTTTTTAGAATTTGAGAAGATGAACTAAAAAAGATCAATGAGACAGCAAAATAAAGCAACAATACTTGACACTATAACACTTAGCTTGCCCATACAAGTAAGCACTCCAGCAGAGAACTTGTAAATCTTGTTTTTTGTAAACAAGTGTAGAAATCATTTAACCAAAGAAAATTCCATGCAAAAAATTTTTATATTTACTCATTACTTTTTATTATTTAATAATTAAATTAGGGTATACAAGTATTTAAACAAATTTAATCTACGTAATTTTAAATGACAAAAATTAAAATTTGAAGAAAATCGGTCAAATAGCTTGTGAGAAATAAATTTAAAAATACTACTTTGACACGGCAAAATTTACAAAAGGTGAAAATAACTAGGACATTATTAAATATTGGACAAAAATATTGGAATTCTATTTTCTCGATTGACTGACCTCCACAATTTGAGGATCGAAATACCGGTATATTTAGAAGTACGTTTTCGTATCTGATTTCTTTAACTTAAAATATTATCTGCTCTAAGTATTTAGCATATTTAAGTTAAGCATCTAGAACTTTTTAGATTGCATTTTAGTACGTGGCAATCAGATTACTAGATCAAAAGTTATTAATGTGTTCCGTTTTTGTCTTCTGCATATTTCCTGGAATCGATGCGAGCGTAGTGTACTGCTCGTCCCCGACCTTATCCATACGCAATCTCTCCTTCACTGTACAAAATTCTAGATCAAATTACTGTTAAAAGTACCAGAATTTCTTTTTACCGAAAAATCCATTTTTACCGGAACAGGTTAAGGAACAAGAAATCTGATATACCGTAATTTTTATTGTAATAATTACAATAAATCCACTGAATCACTCTAATTAAATAAATATTACTGTAAAAATTACGGTATAATATTTTCCAGTACAAACAGATTCTACTCTAAGATGAATTTTGCGGATGATGTACCAATACTACTAGTACTTTATACAGTAATTTGATCCGGAATTTTTTACATTATTAGTTTTTCCTTTTAATCAGGTTTATAAGCAATTCTGAAAAGTTTTGGTTTTAATGAAACTTTGTCTTAACAAACTTTTTTCTAACATTATACGAAGCAATTTTGTCTAATTATAATTTATTTTCAGTTGTTTAATGTGTTTTTGAAATATTCTTTACTTTATTAAAACTGAGTTTCGAAAAATGCACTGTTATGCAATTTTGAGCAGTAGAGAAAAATGTATAATAAAGAAAATGAAGTAAATTAGCGTCAGGATGGACCATAAAAAATGATTAAAATATGGTATTCTTATTTCAGGGTTCAGCTAGTGATTGTATTTTAGTTAATTTATTAGCCGCCCGCCATTCTGCAATTAAAGCTCTAAAAGAAGAAAAACCTTTTGTAGAAGAAGGTGTATTGCTCTCTTCACTCATGGCATATTGTTCAAAAGAGGTATTCTATTCATCTAATTATTTGAATCTAGATATTATAAATGATTTTTCTATCTAATTATAGAACTAATAATTTGAATCAATAAGGTATTCAGAAATACTATTGAAATAGTAATAAGCAAAAGAGATGTTACATTAAACAGTATAATTTTAGAGTTTAACATATTCGATACATATTTTTATTAATTGTGGTGCTTTCTTGACTTGATTTCGGAAACTTTGCCGTAAAAAATACCATAAGGCATATATTTGCCATGAAAAAGCTATATCTATATCTGGAGTTTTGCCTATGGAGAAATTTTACCATTCACTTTTGCCATCATAAACGTCTGGCAAAATTTTTCAATATGCGTATAGTAAATTTTTCCCACATGCGTATGGCAAATTTTTACCATAGGCAAAAGAATAGTAAAATTGTAATATTGGCAAAAGAATATGGGAAAAGAAGTGTAAAATTGTACCATAGGTAAAAACATATTGACATATCCTATTGCATTTTTTTTTACATAGCAAATTTTATCATAGCCATAAAACTGTGGCAACATTTCTCCACAACTCTATGGTATATTATCATTCAATTACACATAGGCGAATTTAAGCATAGACAATAAACAAGGATTATTAAATTACAGTGAGCTTTTGGATCACTTTCACAAGAATGTTTGAAAAAGATAAATAAAGTCGAGAGATTAAGTAATTTAACATATAAGAAAAAACATCAATAATTATTGTATGAAAATGAAAGACCCTTACCGGACAACACTCAGATAATTCTAGTCTTTACGGCAAAAATTACTTGGAAAATAATTAAGGCAATATGAGTAACTAGAAAAATAAATTGGAATGGACTCACAGATTTGTTTGATGTTTACTTTTCATTTATTAAAAATTAATCATTATATAACAGATTGAGCAGAAATATCATCATATATCATCATTATAATCATCATTATAATTATTATGAAAATCATTATATATCGAAGAGCAGAAAATATAACATTTGACATAAGCGCAATTCGCACAACATTGTTGCAGCAGAGTTAATTTGGTTTTGAATGATTTTTCTGAAATCAATTCAATTCTAAACCAAGTTTTTTTTATTAAAGTGACCAAGTTCAAAAAATCAGAAAAAAAGTTGTCGAAAATAGAAGGATATTGATTCAAGAAATTTGAAAATCGATTAAAAACTAAAATGACAGAGTACGAAAATTATCAACAAAATAATAATAATAATAATAAACTTTTTTTAGCCGGATTAGCACTCTGACGAGGTATCGGTGTCACACTTGCCTTGCCACCGACTTGACGGCAGGAGAAATTTTACAAGTTGAAATGATGTTTTTTTTTGTGAAAATAATAGCAAATAATTTTAAATAACTACAAATTTCCATGAGATGAGCGAACTTAATTGAAAAGTACCATTGTTTCTTGTTGGATTGGTTTAATTTACGCAGAATTGAGCTAGATTATTAGAGCTGGAACACGCCTGTTTCGGCGACCATGTCCACTCTCTCATATAAATGATGCATGCGTATAATGTGTGCCTATTATTTTGCTTTACGTCTATACTTCTCTTTAAGCATGCTACTATGTTGCGGTGTTCCGCCATATAATACCATACAAATTTCTGTGGTTATCATAGGTTTATGGTGTCTTGCCATATGAATGCCATATAAATTTCTATGATTACCATAGGCCTGTGCTGACATTTGTATAAATTTCTATGATTACCATAGGTGGGTCTATGGCAAATTTTCCCGAAGAAAATATTGTATTCAACACGTAAAATCTAAAACCTAAAAATGAGAAAACAATTGATTTTAAAAAATATTGTGACTGCGATCACTTTTTCACAATAAGCATTACATTTTTATTATGCAGCTAAATACATAAGAAGTTTCTGGAAAAATATTAATTTTATTTCGAATAATTTAGGCTCATTCCAGTGTAGAAAAAGCAGCCATGATAGGTTTTGTGAAATTAAGAATTCTTGATACAGATGAAAATTTTAAACTTCGAGGCACAACTTTAGCTAAAGCTATGGAGGTAATTTTTATATTATTTTTGTTTTTCATCTTTAAACTAGTCCTTTTGAATTTCTGAAAAACTTCTCGTATTTTTTAGGAAGATAAAAATATGGGACTCAAACCTTTCTTTGTAAGTATTAAATAATTCTCTTCACTTATTGACTATTTTCTACATGTTTATATACTCCTTGTAAAACTTGAATCCCATACAAGCTGAAAGGGAATAGTATTTAAAAGCAAAACCTACCTTATTTTTAAAAAGTAAGTTCTTTGTCTGTTAGTGCTTACCATACAGCTTGCAGCATTTTTAACTCAATAAGTTTTGCATAGAGCAGCCCATAACCCTCAATTTTAACTTAGATATGGTTAAAGCATATCAAAATTAATACTTACTAACTGGTTCGAAATTCAAATAAAAAAAAAATGCTAAACAATATTGCTACTGCTCGGTAAATTTTATACACACCAATTTTTTTCCCCTTTCTTCAAAAACTTGTGAAATAGATATCTCAAATCATTATTCAAGTAGAGTTTCGAATTGCTTTCAAGCATTTCTACATTAAACATGGGTCACATAATTAAAGGTACGAAAATCTTTAAGTTCGATTATCAAAATTGAAAATTTTCGATCAAAGTTTTGTTAATTGCATTCATATCATGCAAAATACACACATACTGTAAAGTGAATTATTAAGACAAATGCATCAATAGTCATTTTATCTTTCTCTATTACATATTATATAACAACATGTCATTTTAAATATACTTCTTTAACGCTATTCTGAGAAAAAAATGTGCTCAAAGCTACCAGAATATGGTAGAATTTACCGTGTTTCTGGCTCTACTGGAACACCAAACAGATCGGTAATTTTTATCAAAGCATTCTGACAGTGGTTTTGATAAAATCAACAATAAAATATGGTTTTATAATCCGTGAAAATGTGGTAAAATTTAATAAATTTACCAAGATACTTTAGAGTATAACATGAAATACATTTATTCGGTTAAATTCGCTTCTCAGTTTTGTATTTTTTATTAAATGATTGCTAATTAAAACTATAATTTTAAGAACCAAAATTTCCGGTAAACCGTTACCATGTGAACAGAAAAATGTCTAATGAATTGCTTAAATTCTATATATTTTGGTTTTATTAACAAGAAATGTGTTGTTTTTTATACCAGAAATGTCATTAACGCATGTCATCAAACGGTAATTTTACCAGAATTTTTTTTTCATGTAATGTTTTTATTCAAAAGTTTATTTAAATTGTTGACCAGCTATCTGATAATTCAAAAATTTAAATGTTTGGCAAAGGAAAAACCCGTAAGATTTTAAATATTACAGTTATAGTTAAGGAAAGAAAGTATCTCTTCACTTCGTCATTTATCAGTTTCTTTTTTTTCGTTTCGGGCATTTCTGAAACCAAAAAAAAAANAAAAAAAAAAAAAAAAAAAAAAAGAAAAAAAGATTCTGAAAATTAATTAAAAATGTTTCATATTATTATGTTTCTAATATGTTTCTAATTTGCTAGTGTTCGAATCAAAAACGAAATATTGTTTAATTTCTCTAGGAATACTTTAATTATAGGCAAAGTAAAAAATTTTTACTATCATAAACCGGAGAAACTTGACGGTTACTTTATTTTAATTTGATATTATTTCCTAATTGAAGAGGTCAGTGTTAAAAAGGGGGTATGTTACAGATCTGCACTTTCGAGAAAAGCTATTAAAACTGCGTCGATTCGGAAAGATTGTTTTAATTATTTCCTAATTGTTGGATTCTCTTCTTTAAGCAGCCTAGAAAATTACTCGGTATTCGATAATCGGTGATTGATATTCCAACACCAACAAAAAACATATTTTCGTAAAAATGTTACATACCCCTTTAATATACCCGCTTCGATGGAATAGACAATTTTCTCTTTATTGTGCAGTCGAGAAACTTCTTAAGACACAAAAAAGTCACATTTTAGAAGTTAAACTTAACTGCATGCAAGCATGTCGTTCTTTTATCCATCTCAAGTAAACTAGGAGTTTCGGTAGAAAAAAAATGTGTTCAGGCTCATTAAAATATTATTTAAATATCTACGGGAGCAAGTTTTCCTTTTGCTTATTTTTACCGAAAAGGAAGGAGCTTACAGAAAACTCTAAATTCCTTAGATTTTTTTTATAAATTGCAAAGCATATTTTTAAAAATCTAACGAAAATATAGAGATATTAGAATTTGCAAAATTTAGCTAAAAAGGAAAAAAATTATTGAACTCTCCCAAAGGCTCGTTTAGTACTGCTACTCAGAGCCATTGTTTCCACTGAGAAATGAAACAAAAGTAACAGAAAAGTTTTATTTCGTGAAATATTAAAATTTGTGAATTTTTCAGGTAGCAGCAACATTAGGAACGACATCTTGCTGTTCATTTGATCCAATTTTTGAAATTGGTCCAGTTTGTGAAAGATTTGGGGTTTGGTTACACGTGGATGCAGCATATGCAGGAAGCGCCTTAATATGTCCTGAATTTCAACACCTATTAAGGGGCATAGAAGTATGTTTTTCTATCATTGTATTCTTTTTACCTCATGTCATTCGTAATGACACATTTTAAGAGGTTAATTGTATTCATTTTAGTAAATTAATTATAAATTATTTATATTTGTAGTAACCTGAGAAAAAAGTATGTTCAAGACTACCAGAATATGATAAAATTTAAGTTCTATGAGAGCACCAAAAAAGACCGGAGTCTTTTACTTAAGCACTTTGGTAATGATTTAGTAAAATTAACAAAAAAATATGGTTTTATTACCATGCTGTTAGATAGCAAATGTTGTGAAATTTGGTGATTTCATCATGATGCCTTAGAGCAGAGATCGCCAAAGTGGTCTATATAGACCCCCAGGGGTCTATTTGACATAAGTGGGGGTCAATCTGAGCCAGGGGGTCGAATGGGGGTCGATCCGAACCGGAAGGGTCGAAGGATTATCAGTGTTTCTCAGATATGTGACAATTAAAAATAAAAGAAGAAGACTTGGAAATATATACTGGTAATCTTCAAAAATTGAGCGACATTTTAAACTGCGTTTTGTTGATTTGGAAAACATTGACATCCCTGATTGGATTATTGTGCCATTTTCTGCTCAAATTGAAAACGTGGACATCAACCTGCAAGATGAGCTTGCTGAATTATTATGGGGATTTGAAGCAAAGACGCTTTTTAAAAATTTAACAATAAGCAAATTTTGGACAAATATAAATATAATGCAAAAATATGTAAGACTTTACGAAATAGCTCAGCCATTTATGATAGCATTTCCAAGTTCCTATATGGTTGAAGCCGGTTTCAGTCACGTAAATTCAATCTTAACTAAGAACAGAAATAAATTAAATGTGGAGTTTCGAGGGGATTTAAGATTAAAATTGACCAATTTTGATCCCAATATAACGAACCTTGGAAAAAAAAAAGCACCAGGCACACCCATGTCATTGATTAAGAAGCAATAAATCCACAGTTACTTTACTTATTATTTCTACTTATTTATAATTACTTATTATTTAATAAATATTAAGGTATTTAAATTTCAACATTAATATATTTTTCATAAAACTATTGTTGCACAATGTTTTATTACTTTAATGTTTGAAATCATAAAATAAATGTACAAACACAGTATCTAATAGAGTTTTATCTTAATTAACAGAAAATTACTTTTATGGGGGTCGATGGAGATTTCGAAAAATTATGTAGGGGTCGATGATCAAAAAAGTTTGTCAACCCCTGCCTTAGAGCATGGCGTAAAAACCATTTATTCGGTAAAAATTACTTTTCAGTTTTGTTGAATGTGTGGTAATAAGAATAGTTTTATAATATGTGATGAAATTTGGTAATGTGGTAAGGTTTGGTGATTTTTTCATGATACACTTGTGTAAGGCATAAAAACCATTTATTCGGTTAAATTTACTTTTCGGTTTTTAATTTTTAGTAAATGTGGGGTAATAGGAACTATAATTTTAAAAGCCAGAATTTCCGGTAACCTTTACCATACTAACGGAAAAATTACCAAATGAATTGTTTAAAAACCGTATATTTTCATTTATTAGTAGAATTGAGGTTTTTCCTTTACCAGAAATGTAACAGTAATTTTACCAGAATTTTTTTCTTCGTGTATTCATCGCTAGTTTTGGAAAATTTGAAAAGTATTACAGAAGACAATAATAATCTTTTGATTGAAACTGATCCATCATAGTAGCGTAATAAGTATTCATTATAGTCAATTATTAGAATAATTTAATTGAAATTTACTCACGACACTAGTCTCTCATTAGAAACACTAGTGCGATGGCTATGTTTCACTTAAAAATTTGATCTGATGGTTAAATTTCACTAATAATGAACTAGTGTGACTAGATTTAAAATTAGTGTCTTTAAAATTGTTTTAATAAATGCACTTGCGTGATTATAGTTATTTTATTTCAGTATGCCATGTCTTTTAACATGAATCCAAATAAGTGGATGTTAGTGAATTTTGACTGTTCTACCATGTGGTAAGTAATACTTTTAATAAATTTTCGATGTTCGTCTTAAAATAATATATTCAATATGCATAATGATTATTTCAGGGTAAAAGATCGTTTCAAGTTGACGCAAGCTTTGGTAGTAGATCCTTTATACCTACAGCATAGTTTTTCAGGCAAGTTTTTTATTATTATTAAAAAGTATGTTTTCTATTCTTTTGCAAAATTCTTCACATTTCTCATTTTTAATGCTTTTGATTGGTAATAAATAACTTTTAATGATAGCTTAACTTTTTGAAACTGTTTTCCCATTGCTATACTCAAATTTTGTTGAAAGCAATGCGTTTCAAATTGAAACAATTAAAATATTTCGCTTCAATAAACATTCTGATATATTTCTTTTTTGTTACATCTTTCAATGAAACTAAACAAACTACTTCAAAAGTGTTCAATTTCTATGAATTCTAGTAAATAAGGTATTTTTTTTATTTCTCAAGAAGACAAAATCCTTAGATTTTTATATGAATTAATTGCAATTTAAGATACCAGAATTCTTCTAATGCGTGAACAATACTGCTGCCCTAAACAAGAAGGTGTTGTATCTTCAATTCGAAGTCAGTGCAAAACAGTACGCGGGCAAACAGTGAGTAGGGCAAAACAGTTCGCGGTTCGTACTTATACTTGAACTGTTTTGTTTGTACTGATGATTTGGTAGAGAGATAACAAACCTGGATGCATAAACCTGGTAGACAAACCTGGTATTATAAACCTGGTAGAATGCGTCATAAGAATTGGGAATCACGTTGCGGAGCAACCCATAGCTGAAAGTTTATCATGCGATGCATTATGGAAGGGTTGTTCATGAGCATTTAAACCGGTATTTTCAATCATATAAATATTAATTTCATCTTTTCTATTGATTTTATTTACTTTTATTACCGTCGTTGAACAACAGACCCAATTCTTTAGGGTTTACGACTACTAGTGTACATCTCCGCAGCCTTGTAATTTTGAACCTAATCCAGGAGACAAAGGAACTCCTGGATCAAGTATTGGGAGAAATTCGCCTTCGTGGAGGACTTTTTGATGGAACTAACCCGCATTTACGTTACATGGAAAGGAAAATCACCAAAACATTCCACGGTTAGTCTGACGGCAAAGGGATTCTAAGCCATGATCCGTCTACCACTGAGGATATTTTGCGCGAGCTCTGTGGTCGGTGCAAGACGGATACGGAATTCGTATCTACCAGCCATTGCTGGGATTCAAGCCCGGTTCACCTCATTGGAAGGCGAATGTTCTATCACATCCTCTGAGCCATCACGGCTCTTTTGTTCTTATGATTACGGTCAAAAATTGCATTTTAATAAGCTTATAATACATGTTTCATCCTAATTAATTGATTTGTCACCTTAAATGTTAGTTAGGCTTCAAATCAATAAACTACTACAAAATAACTAAATTTTACATCAATTATCAAGAAATTTAAGATTAGGATAATTTAGATAAATAAAATACCGGTACAAATGCTCCCGAACAGCCAGTCCATAGTAGGAGAACACCCTTAATAGCGTACAGCGACATTTCTGACCATGAGTTTCTCAATTCCTTATTTTATACCCTACTTGCCCTATAAACGCTAAGATGAATCTCCTTGTAATTTTTTCCCTTTAGAATACAAGTGGAGTCAAGCCAACCTAAGTTGTAAATAATTATATCTACAATTAAATATCATCAATTTATGCAAAATCCATAATATACGGTGTTCACAAGCAAATTNACAAATAATTAAATATATATATATATATATATTGAGAGTCGCAAATTAATATTTAAAAGTAGAAATAAAGCGGATGGGAGTGAAAAAAATGAAACCCTGTTTGATCGCTGGAGGTATCAAGGGCGAGTTGAAATTAGTTCAATAGAAACACCCTTAAGTTAATAGGCTAATCAAACTGGTTTTCTTCCTAACTTTTTACTTAGAATTTTTAAAATTTTGAGTAATTTTTTTTAACTTTCTATATCAAAGATTTATTTGTAAAGTATTTGCTTAGGTGCATTATTTTTTGTCTTAAATTTTGATAATACTTCAAAAAATGCATGTTAAGGATGGCTAGTACGGTGGCTATTATAAAAATTTTAATTGGATTATGACCTTTATTTTCTGAAAATGCTCCAATCCTCGTGTTTATCGCCTTACAACAGCTTCATGAATTCCATGAATTGGATTTGGATTTGGCTAAAGAATAATTTTAGCCGATATATATATTTTGGGAAGAACATTGGATATTTTTGACAAGAAGGATAATTTGGGATGTTTTCCTCCTTAAACTGTAAGAAAAAAACTATATAGATTGCTATTTTATGATATTTAATTAATATTTTTATTTTTATTTTATGAACATTCCAGGCTTTTTCTTTTACTCAAACACTACGAGTATAGAGTCATAATTATGGTTAAAAGGGCATTGAGAGAAAAAGCATTGTTAAAACTTCCAGAATATGGAAGAGTTTACCCTGTTTCTGGCTCAATGGTACGGTAATTTTTGATAATTATTGGTAATAATTGGTAATGACATTAAAAAATTAACAATAAAATATGGTTTTATTACCATGCTGTTTGGTAGTAAACATGGCAACATTTCGTAATTTTACCAAGGTACCTTAGATCATGGAATAAATTCCATTTATTCGGTAAAATTTACTTCTCAATATTACTAAATGTGGGATAGTAAGAACAATGATTTTCAAAACCAAAATTTCTGATAAACTGTTACAGTACGAAAAGGAAATTACCAATGGATGGTATAAATACAGCATATTTTGGTTTTATTACCAGAATTAGGAGTTATTTTTTTTAAACCAGAAATTTTATTACTATACAAGTACAGTAATTTACAGCATTTTTACTTTTCCGTGTGGCTGAGTGTAAATTCCTGAAACCCTCACAAGAAAGTCTAGAAGATTTATTGCAATTATATGTTATCATTTTATTTTAAGTTTAATAATAAATATAATATTTCCAAATGCAATTTATAGCCAAAATATAATCGAAAAGGGATAAACATAGGCAGGGAGCGTCTCCAGAAAGTGATGGGAATGGAGGGAAATAAGGGTTCTATTCAGATTCAGTAGGTCAATTTACATAATAATGGACGGAAATTTCGTCAGGGCTCAAGTCGTCTTTTTATCAGTGGTCATCGGATCAGTGATGTGATATTGCCGTTCTTTCTAAAATATAGATTACTTAGATTGAGTAACAGCTCACCCTCCTTCAATGCATCAAAATCAGCATATATATATATATATATATATATATATATTAGGCTTCAAATCAAC